TTCCTGGCTGGTGTCTACAATCAGATTACAACCTGGATGCTAGAGGGACGTTCCTGCTCTGGCCATTCTTCCTAGACCCATTCAGTGGACAGAGCTAGGAACCCAGACACATAAACCCAAGTGTGTGTGTGTGTGTGTGTGTGTGTGTGATCTCGAGGATACTTTGTCATCTAGTTTTGCTGTGAGTGTCCATGAGTTTTTAGTTTTGCCATCTAGTTACTGGTATTTTTTATGTGCAGATTTGGAGAGATTAAAAATTTTGATGCCACTATTGCCGTCTTCTTAGAATCTAGTCTACCTATTTTTAGTCAAAACTTAGTGATTGGCACCATTTTTTCCAAATTCAGGGACAACTGTCTATGTTAATCAAGAGCTAATTTGCCCTGGCAGTCAAGCAGTATTCTTCAGTCCTTAGCTGATGGCTGCCAGAGGATCACTCTGGTGGTCTCCTTCTATGTTGCATATAGAAATTGTGAGGCACACATTCTCTTTAATAAAATAGACCTTTCCTCACTTCTCTGTCCTTTTCATCATATTCTATTTCATTCCTTAATGATTGGAGAGAATCACGTTGACCCTACCATTACTACTCTTCTTCATATAGACAGTTTACAAACACCAAAGAAAATCAACACCTACATTCCACAGAATAGGTTACTCTGAGAATTGATTTATATTTTGTACTAGACTTGACTCTCAGTATGCTTTCTGTATTTCTAATATTCAATTCCATCAACAAAATGAGACTTGGCACCACTGAGGAAGTATTGATAAGAATGAGCTACAAGTCCTGAAGACAGTTCAAGCACAGGACTTGGAACTGTTCTGTTTTGTAAACTGTCTATGCTCACATGGGGCTATGCCTATGCTCACGATGATTAATATTTTTATCATAGAGAACAGCAGTGTTTTATTCCAGGTAAGATATGAAAATAAAATCTTTTGCAATGGCTCCAAATCTCATTGAATTTTGCAGCTGTAGGCATAAAGACATTTAGCTATCTTCCCAAAGTAAATGATCTGAACTAGACACATTGCTCTAGTATCTTCTTCACAGAATAAAAAAGTGCAAGTTATGAAAGGGTTCTATTTTATTATTAGGTGTTGAAACTTAATACGTGGGTGACAATATCTGCATCATTTAATCTCTGGTTATCTTTTGAAATCTTGATTCTTTTAGAATAACATTTTTATCTTATTGTCTAGTTCAGTAGTTCTCAACCCTGGCCTGGCAGTTTAAATGTCTAGATTTTTTAAAACACTTATGTCCTGGATGCAGCTCCAATATTCTGATTTAATAGGTCTGGGTTTGGTCCCGGGTTCCCAAGTTTTTTAATAGTTTGCCCAGTGTTTTTAATGTTCAGCTTATTCCTGTCTAGTTAGTTCATAAACCAATGATCTCCATTATAAAGTTTAGCTGGTTTCCATTAGTACAAGGTCTGGGTTTGGTCCCGGGTTCCCAAGTTTTTTAATAGTTTGCCCAGTGTTTTTAATGTTCAAGTTATTCCTGTCTAGTTAGTTCATAAACCAATGATCTCCATTTTAAAGTTTAGCTGGTTTCCATTAGTACAAATACTGGAACCATTTCCTTTAAAGCATAGTTAAAAAGAAACCAGCACCAACAACCAAAGCTAAATAATTACATAAATTAATGCCAGTTCTATTGAGCCTAGCATCAATGTGTAAATTTAGCCAAAAGAATAAAACATATATTAAAGCCACAGAGCCAGAACTTGAACTGGGATCCCTAATGGAGATTAATATTTTCTTCAGCAGTCTGCCAGCTGAATCATGGACTAATTAAGTAGTTCAGATTTAGTGAGTTTGCATTTAAAGTATTAGCAGATCTGAGGATGGGTAAAGCTAAAATGAGGTAGAATCTTTTCTGTAAATGGGAAGTTAAATTATCATAGTAATTTGATTAAATCATTTTTAAATCTCTCAAGCTAAATCACAGCCTTTAAAGAATAGTTTGAAGTCTTAATTGCTGTTTGCGAGCATATCTCTCTGCTATTTGTTCTCGCCTCATTTCCTGTGACATCCTATAATATATCTCCTGCAGGGCAGGAGTAGTGGGGGAGGCAAGACTTGGGGCGAGGGCTGAAGTGACTGTGTAGCTGACTTGAAGCATTTAAAGATATGCCATGTAGAAAAAGGAAATTTATCCTATATTGTTCCAGTCACTAGAACCAGGGCCAAAAGATTGAATTTGGAGACAAATTTTGGAAAATAAGAAGAAGACATTTATAATATCAGTTCCATCTTTTGTAAACTTGCATACTCTACATGCTCTACGTGCAGCTGCGGATGTCTTCATTAGGAAGGTTGTAGAGAAGGTTGCTGATGAAGACACAAGTTTCAATGAGATGAGCTCAGAGGATAATTTCATCTCATTTTTTTGAAAGGAAATGCCATGTTCAGTGTTAACACATTCTAGCAGCATAATTCATTTCAAAGAAGCCTGACTTTGAGCCTGACTCTGACACTTACTCCAGTGTTACTTGACATGTAGGGTCATTGGGAGGTGAAATGGGGCAATGTTCACCCGAAACAGGTGCTTAATAAATGGTGAATTTATGATTTTTGATTTTTATTCTGCCTTTACTTACTCCAGTGTTACTTGACATGTAGGGTCATTGGGAGGTGAAATGGGGCAATGTTCACCTGAAAGAGGTGCTTAATAAATGGTGAATTTATGATTTTTGATTTTTATTCTGCCTTTTTTTTTTTTGTCTAGTTAGAAAATAGTTATTTTGTTTTAATTTTCTTTTGTCTGTAATGAATGTAATTCCTACTAGCTTCTCCACCCATCTGTTCCTCTCTGTGTTCATGTAGAGTGCCCACCTTTAGTCCCAGGATAGTCGTCTCTGTTCCTTATGTGCAGGCTCCTCACTGCAGTCTTTTGTTTACCTGGAGACTCACCATTAAGGTGTGCCCATGCCCCCATTTTTCCTTCAGGCAGCATTTAAGTACAAAAATAGAAAGAAAAAGAATCAGAGAACGTTGTCATCTCCATGACCGTTTTTCCATCACTGACATTACCAATGCTTAGACAGCGTGGGAAATTGTGTATGCTTGTTCCGAAGGGAAGACACCAGAGGAAGCGGATGAGATTGCCATGCACAAAGGCACAAGACTGAAGGGAAGTCTGGGTAGAAACAGTCCACAGGGAAAGGCCAGGCGTGTGTTGGGGAATGTCTTGAGTCCTGCTCTGAGAGAGGCACCAACCAGGTCAACACCATTTTCCACTCTGAAGAATTCCCTTTTTTGGCTCTACTAGGCAGGTTAAAGTCTGGAGCAGTAGATGCTTATAAGCGACTGTCTTCCAGTTTATTCAAAATTCTTTCAAACGAATGTGTCATTAACTGCCTAATGAAATAATGGTCAATTCACCAACAGTGTGGTGAAATGATTCAAGTTAATAGTGTAAGAGAAAAAGCAATATACAAAATACAAAGAAGCTTGAAAAACATTACAGGTTATATCCGTTTTTTAAGTACGTTGCCATATTTCATTTTTACTGTACGTTTAGCCACCTAATTTTAAAGTACATTTCCTGTCTCTTTTTTTCATATGATCTGTATTTGAATTGTATGAAAGATTAGGCTAACGACATATATCTTAGAGCTCAGCATTCTCAGAGAACTAGAATTATTAAACATGAAGAATCCCCTAAAGACTCTATTATGTGTAATTAACAGATAAACTGTCATCAGAATCAATAAAACGTGCTAAATGATTCAAACTTGTATATAATTAAGTGTCTGTTTTAGAGGTAGAGCTGTAACTTTTATTTTTTCTCTCACATTTCTCACAAGAATAATTGTGGCAACCTTGTTAACCCTTTCTTTGCTTGATTGAATTAAATTTTCAAGTTAATCATTTAAGGGCAAAGTTCACCTTCACAAATGTGAAAAATATTCCAGGACTCAATGATCTAAAGACACCATTCGTTTTTTTAGCAGGGAAGTAGACTATGTAAGGATGCTTTAATAAACTGTTATTAGGACATTAAAAATCCTAAAAGAATAAACAATTTATTGTGATTTTTGTACAGTGCTAGATTCTAGGTATTAGCATGGAGTTCTTAAGATCTTAAAGTTATCAATTTTTTTCCCTGTGGGAAATATAGGCTTTATGCATGCAAGATCAGAATTTAAAACAACTTTACCTTACACAGCACTTAAAATAATACTTTTAATAGATGGACTTCCAAAATTGTTTGTTGAATGAATGAATAAATACATGAATGAGACAATGAATAAAATAGTCAAGACTGTAATCTGTTAAAAGAAAGCCTTCTCTTTCTCAGTGTTAGGAGTTAAAACACATTTTAAATAATAGATCTTTTGTAATAATTCCCATGTCCTAAGCCAGCATTAGAAATGATCTGGGCCAGCCCGGTGGCGCACTGCTACAGTGCGCCGCTTGAGAGCGCGGTGGCGCTCCCGCCGAGGGTTCGGATCCCACATACAGACCGGTTCCCGCTCACTGGCTGAGCGAGGGGCGGGCGCAGCACCGAGGGTTGCGATCCCGTTACTGGTCCCGGTCCGGTACGGGCGCGACACTGAGGGTTGCGGTCCGATGCCGGAAACGAAAAAAGACAAATAGGAAAAAAAAAAAAAAAAAGAAATGATCTACTGGGGGGAAATTTAGTAAAAAATAATAGAGGTTTTAGAAATGTGAAACCTTGAACAATCACAGCCTTCAGCTTAGAGAAGTTCAACAATTACTGGTCCCGGTCCGGTACGGGCGCGACACTGAGGGTTGCGGTCCGATGCCGGACACGAAAAAAGACAAAAAGGAAAAAAAAAAAAAAAAAGAAATGATCTACTGTGGGGAAATTTAGTAAAAAATAATAGAGGTTTTAGAAATGTGAAACCTTGAACAATCACAGCCTTCAGCTTAGAGAAGTTCAACAATGATATTTCACATTTATAACTCTAACCTCCATAGGTTTATTATTAATGTGATTGTTTGTATTTTTGCTCCGTGTACAGACTCCATGCACATAGAAGACGTTGAAGCCGTTCAAAAGCTGCAGGACGTCTTACATGAGGCCCTGCAGGATTACGAGGCTGGCCAGCACATGGAAGACCCTCGTCGAGCTGGCAAGATGCTGATGACACTGCCCCTCCTGAGGCAGACCTCCACCAAGGCCGTGCAGCACTTCTACAATATCAAACTAGAAGGCAAAGTCCCCATGCACAAACTTTTTTTGGAAATGTTGGAGGCCAAGGTCTGACTAAAAGCTTCCTGGGCCTTCCCGTCCTGCACGTTGAAAAAGGGAAAATAAACCCAAGAGTGATGTCGAAGAAACTTAGAGCTTAGTTAACAACATCAAAATTCCACAAAGACTGCACTGATCATTTAGCAGCAAGACTATGAAGCAGCTTTCAGATTCCTCCGTATCTTCCTGATGAATTTATTTCTCCTTTGTCTCCCATCTTCATTTCTCCTACCCTCCCCACTTCTCTGCCTCTTTATTTATTTTTTTCCTCTCTCTTCCTTCATCCCCCTCTTCCTCATTTCCTTTCCTTCCTTCCTTCTGCTGCTGAACTTTTAAAAGAGGTCTCTAACTGAAGAGAGATGGAAGCCAGCCCAGCCAAAGGATGGAGATCCATAATATGGATACCAGTGAACTTATTGTGAACCATAACGTCCCCAATGACTAAGGAATCAAAGAGAGAACCAACGTACCTAAAAGTACAGTACAACGTAGACGAATTGACTGAGTGCAGTATTAGATTTCACGGGAGCAGCCTCTAATTAGACAACTCAAGCAATGTTGCATCGGCTGCTGCTTATCATTGCTTTTCCATCTAGATCAGTTACAGCCATTTGATTCCTTAATTGTTTTTTCAAGTCTTCCAGGTATTTGTTAGTTTAGCTACTATGTAACTTTTTCAGGGAATAGTTTAAGCTTTATTCATTCATGCAATACTAAAGAGAAATGAGAATACTGCAATTTTGTGCTGGCTTTGAACAATTATGAACAATGATGACGGACAAATGAATCCTGAAGGAAGATTTTTAAAAAATGTTTTGTTTCTTCTTACAAATGGAGATTTTTTTGTACCAGCTTTACCACTTTTCAGCCATTTATTAATGTGGGAATTTAACTTACTTAAGCAATAGTTGAAGGGAAGGTGCATATTATCACGGATGCAATTTATGTTGTGTGCCAGTCTGGTCCCAAACATCAATTTCTTAACATGAGCTCCAGTTTACCTAAATGTTCACTGACACAAAGGATTAGATTACACCTGCAGTGACTCAGAGTAGTCACTTATATAAGCACTGCACATGGAATACAGATCTGTAGAATGATCCGGAGTGCACCTCTCTACCTGGGAGGTACAGTTGCCATATGATTTCTAGGTGACTCAGAGTAGTCACTTATATAAGCACTGCACATGGAATACAGATCTGTAGAATGATCCAGAGTGCACCTCTCTACCTGGGAGGTACAGTTGCCATATGATTTCTAGCTGCCACGGTGGTTAGGAATGAGATACTGCTTGTTTGCAAAGTTACAGACATTGTCTCAAAAGGAGCTGTGAGCCAGTATTCATTTAAGAGGCAATAAGGCAAATGCCAGAATTTAAAACAAAAAAGATCATCAAAGACAGCAGACACCTGACCAAATTCCAAAACCTAATCCATATGAGTTTATTCATTTAGGAATGTTTGCTTAAATTAATCTGCAGTTTTTACCAAGAGCTAAGCCAATATGCGTGCTTTTCAACCAGTATTGTCACAGCATGAAAGTCAGTCAGGTTCCAGACTGTTAAGAGGTGTAATCTAACGAAGAAATCAATTAGATGCCCCCGAAATCTACAGTCGCTGAATAACCAATAAACAGTAACCTCCATCAAATGCTATACCAATGGACCAGTGTTAGTAGCTGCTCCCTGTGCTATGTGAACAGTCTTATTCTATGTACACAGATGTAATTAAAATTGTAATCCTAACAAACAAAAGAAATGTAGTTCAGCTTTTCAATGTTTCATGTTTGCTGTGCTTTTCTGAATTTTATGTTGCATTCAAAGACTGTTGTCTTGTTCTTGTGGTGTTTGGATTCTTGTGGTGTGTGCTTTTAGACACAGGGTAGAATTAGAGACAATATTGGATGTACAATTCCTCAGGAGACTACAGTAGTATATTCTATTCCTTACCAGTAATAAGGTTCTTCCTAATAATAATTAAGAGATTAAAACTCCAAACAAGTATTCATTATGAACAGATACACATCAAAATCATAATAATATTTTCAAAACAAGGAATAATTTCTCTAATGGTTTATTATAGAATACCAATGTATAGCTTAGAAATAAAACTTTGAATATTTCAAGAATATAGATAAGTCTAATTTTTAAATGCTGTATATATGGCTTTCACTCAATCATCTCTCAGATATTGTTATTAACTCGCTCTGTGTTGTTGCGAAACTTTTTGGTGCGGACTCGTTTCCAAAACTATTGCTACTCTGTGTGCTTTAAACAAAATACCTTGGGTTGATGTTTCATCAACCCAGTGCTAGGAATACTGTGTATCTATCATTAGCTATATGGGACTATATTGTAGATTGTGGTTTCTCAGTAGAGAAGTGACTGTAGTGTGATTCTAGATAAATCATCATTAGCAATTCATTCAGATGGTCAATAACTCGAAATTTATAGCTGTGATAGGAGTTCAGAAATTGGCACATCCCTTTAAAAATGACAACAGAAAATACAACTCCTGGGAAAAAAAGGTGCTGATTCTATAAGATTATTTATATATGTAAGTGTTTAAAAAGATTATTTTCCAGAAAGTTTGTGCAGGGTTTAAGTTGCTACTGTTCAACTACACTATATATGAATAAAATATATACAATATATACATTGTTTTCACTGTATCACATGAAAGTATTTGGGCTTCAGGAGTAAGAGCCAACCAACTGAAAACATGAGATGGAGATATGTTAAAAGAATGAGATACAATTTTTAGTTTTCAGTTTAAGTGACTTATCAGCATCACAAAAGAACAAGTATCTCACGAATAAGAAACAAAACTAAAACGTAGACCTAAAAGAACTGCACGGGCTTTAGGGTAAATGCTCATCTTAAAAAATTTCACTTGAGGAAAGTTTTTCATGTTTCAAGCAAGACCATTTACTTAATGTGAAGTTTTGGAAAGTTATAAAGGTATATGTTTTAGCCATATGAGTTTAATTTTTATTTTGCTTCTTTTAGGTTTGATCTTATTTAAAGCAATATGATTGTGTGACTCCTTGTAGTTACACTTGTGTTTCAATCAGATCAGATTGTTGTATTTATTCCACTATTTTGCATTTAAATGATAACATAAAAGATATAAAAAATTTAAAACTGCTATTTTTCTTATAGAAGAGAAAATGGGTGTTGGTGATTGTATTTTAATTATTTAAGCATCTCTGTTTACCTGCCTAGGAAAACATTTTATGGCAGACTTATGTGCAAAGATCGTAAAAGGACAAAAAATTTAAACTGCTTATAATAATCCAGGAGTTGCATTATAGCCAGTAGTAAAAATAATAATAATAATAATAAACCATGTCTATAGCTGTAGATGGGCTTCACATCTGTAAAGCAATCAATTGTATATTTTTGTGATGTGTACCATACCGTGTGCTCCAGCAAATGTCCATTTGTGTAAATGTATTTATTTTATATTGTATATATTGTTAAATGCAAAAAGGAGATATGATTCTGTAACTCCAATCAGTTCAGATGTGTAACTCAAATTATTATGCCTTTCAGGATGATGGTAGAGCAATATTAAACAAGCTTCCACTTTTGACTGCTCTTTTGTATTGTGTTTCTTTTTTTCCCCACTAAAGAACCAAATCAATAAACACTGCCCTTTGTTGCTTCCACTCAAAGAGTATCTCTGAGTACCTGTTCCCTAAAAATAAAGTAGGAGTTTAAATAAGAGCTATATAAAGGCTTGTCAGGATGAATTCTAGGGTGCCAAGAGACATTTTGCATATTTAAGAGTATGCAAAGTGTCTCATGGCACATTAGAATTCATTCTGACAAGACTTTATATAGCTCTTATTTAATCTTAAAGCATCTCCACATCATCCTGCATTACTCAAAATCATCGCCTCTATGTCAATGTCATAACAGAAAACTTTCCTCCTATTTTAAGATCATATTAAAACCAGCTAGAGATACCTATTATTTTCCTCTATCAACAATGAAATCATGTGCTTGCACTGGGCTCGCCAGCAAGCTGCAGGCTTTGTGGAGCAGCAGCAGAGTTGCTGGCCAGATCTCCTGAATGCAAAGTCAACAGTAGAGCTTATAGATTGGTGTGAAATAGGAGGGGGAGCTGTCTTCAAAAGCAAGAGGGTTCAACAGCACTGCTGACAGCAAATGGCCTCCTTTTGCCTTTTACACTCAAAGAGGTTAAGGCCCTTGCTGCTCAGGGTCAAGTTGTAGCTTCCACTGGACCCTCCTGGAGTCATCACCGAAGTGCTAATACGTGCTTTCTGGACTTCTCTGCCTATCTTGAGAGTGTTTTGTCATTGTGTTTGCCCACCGTATTTCTCACCTTTCAGAGGTGGCTAGTTCTCTAGAGAAGCAAGCTGATGACAAAGGCCACTCGCTAAACTAAATCGGTTTTTAGGGGCATGAGGTTACCTAAGTCACTAAGACACACTAGCTAGCGAGATAGCTCAGCGTGTCTTTTCCTATTTTAATGTCTTTTGAGTGGCAACAGCTCAGCATAGAATCTGACATGTTTTACTTTTGATATTTTTCAATACTTGGGTGAAACTGAAATAATGCAAGATACAATCTTGCAAGACACTAAAAGGAAAAACCGTGTCTGCGATCTACCAAGAAGGTCCTCATTTTAATATATTTGGTAGACACACATACTTTTAAGAATTCAACTGCCTGAATTTTTCTGCTGTTTTTTATAATTTAGAATTATTACAGGGCAACTTTTCGGGACTGACATATTTATCACAGATGCCTCAGCAGTAAAAGAAAATAACAAAGTAGGACTTTGACATTTTAGCATGATGTATTTCTCAATATATAAAAAACAAGTAGCTCTGACAAACGGGTTATATATTTATTTTGAGTGATTTATTTTTAAGCCAGTGGTTCTCAAACTTGTCTACATATTGGAATTACCTGGTTAGTGTCCACAATTCCTGATCCTCACATCCCACCCACAGAGATTGTGTTTTCATTGGTCTGAGATGTGGCCTGGACTTTGGAATGTTGAGAAAAGATCTTCAGGTGTTTCTAATGTAAAAACAAGATGGGGAAACCAATGCTTTACATTTTTATACCTTTCTCAAATAAGGCAAGGATGTCTTTAAAAATGAATATCACACATTGGCTCTGAATTTTTGTTACGGTTTTAGAATTTAAAAAAAAAATATCAAGACAAAAAGATTTAACTTTTTTTTTTTTCTTACAAAGCCAGTGCAATGAACTTCAACTGTTTTGACCTCCTTCCCACTTCATCACTTCTGCCCTTTCTATACACGCCCTTCTTCAAAACGTGGAAAACACATTTTATGTGATGACTCTCAAGCCACATCTTCAGCTTATACCCTCATATAAAAATGGAGATGCCTGCTCAAAAGACATGTACACAGTATCTCACAATCATTAAAAAAAAAAATCCTGATCACTTGGCCTTTCATGTGCTTTAAAACTAATTTAGGTGTTTTTACCCACTGAAAAACAAAAGAGTCACAAAATTAAAAATTTTTGGATTTCTTGGAATGAATACTTTTATCTATACTTTCCAAGTTGTTGATTTAGGCAGATTAGAAATGAGACAGAATTGAGATAGAATATCCCATTCTTGGGTCTCCGCAAAAATCTTTAGGCACACTTTGCTTATTATAAAGTTAAGTTTACAATGAACCTGTGAAGGAAAAGAGAGCTATGCTCAAGGTCTTTGTTTCATCCACAATGCTTTACATACTGAATGGATATTCCCATAGTCCAGTAGATATGGAAGCATTTAAGTCAGTGTGTCTGGCCCTTTCAGATCCCCAAGTCTAGTTTCTCATGCCCCTCGGTAGTGTGGAAGGAACAAAATGAAACGAGTAGCAGTAGATGGATTGTTCATGGTACCTTATTATGAAACAAAATAAAAAAGAAAGGAATTTCAAAACATAATCCTCCTTCCCCACGAGTATTTGTCTTGTTCTCCATGAAGTTAAAGGTCTGAAATAATGTGCCCATCAGGGGCTCAATGTTGCATGTCCATGCCAGTTGGTCCAAGGGCTTGTTATGATGGTAATGACCTACTGAAACGTGAGCTTGGATTGCAACAATACAATTGCTACTAGCTCACCCGCTGGGAGAAATATT